TAGGCAGGCTAGCGCAATCTAAACCAACAATTATCTGCGTATGAGGTGATTAAATTCTGATCARGATCACTAGCAATATCAAGTTCTTCTTTGTTTAACATTAACTTTAACGTTTTTGTTGTCTTTGAGAAAGTATGCCACTTTTTCCTCCGATTTAAACAAYAAAAGTTACCCAGATACGGGTTCAAGTGTCCTTTTATAAAAATGTGGTAAACACCTACTTAGTGCCAGTTAAATCATATTTTATACTGTTGCTTTTCATTCATCATTCGCATACATAYACACACATATTACACAAAGATTACACCTGACACGCTTTTGAACTTGCGTGGACATCAGCTAATAAGCGGCACGTGACTTGGATAGTAATAAAGCACAGAAAACCGGAAATAAGCCGGTCTTCTGCTTTCAAAACACAAACTAAAGTACACACCTGCGCTCGCGCATACATATATAAAATATATACATACATCCATACACACTCAAGTGTTGGCGCTTCGTGGCGCCATTCACTATTCTTTCGTTCCATTCCATTCCRGCTGTTTAAATGCTAAGCGGCACACGTCTCGCTTATTTTTTGGTAGTTGGTTAGCASCATTAAACCGGTATTATAGTTTTTGTTTATTTATGAGCTCTTTATGACGGCGCTTAAGMATATAATTCACACCTGATTAACATACTTACATATTAATACGGTTTGTTTGGCGGCTCATTTGCACCTGTGTCCATTTGGTGATAATTAATTTTGATTATGAAAGAATTGTTAATATGTTTTGGGTTTTTGTATTTTTTCTTGCATATATGTACACATATACTATATATAAGTATTTGTTGTACATATATACATCTGATAGATTTATAATTTTTTTATTTTTATATAACTTTGCATTATCTATTTAAATAATCGTATTATACTTTTTGTTCGTTCAACGAGCCAAACTGTTTTAAATCTATGTATCTCAAGAATTTGTAGTGTGGTCCATACATGTATTTATAGAAATGYATATTTCGCCGGTTTCGGCCGGTTTCTTTCTTTGGAGAGCGCTTGACTCAATATTGCATTGGTTTGTCGAAGTAG